GGCTTCGTCTCCTTTTCAGGAACATCCAGTTGCCTCTTTGACAGATTGAACCCCAAGCCGAGGTTCTTGAGAGTTTTACCCCCAATCGTCAGACGGCTAGGTACCGTCAAAGAGGAAGTCTTCCTCGCCTTATTCTGGGAAGGCGGCTCCTCTCCAGGCCTAGGCCTGATTATTTTTGAAACAGAATGGGGCACCTTGCTCCCATCCTAAAAACAAACAAAGCAATCAGGCGGCATTGAAGCCAAATGGAAATATATGTAGAAAGAAAAAAGGAAAAGAAAGATACCTTCTTCGCCGCCTGAGCAGCAAGTTTTTTCTCCGCATTTGCCTTGCGGATTTCAGTAGCTGACTTGGCGGGTGTCTTGTCAGCAGGCAACAATACTAATCCACGCACTGCACAAAAGAACCCATCCGGTCAGAGAAACAAATAAAACAAGGAACAAAAGATAAGATAGGGGCAATCTCTAATGTGACCTACGTTTGTCAAACTGAGTGCTAAGCATACAGACGGACAGAAACGCCTCGTCTCGAAGAAACTCGTGCCTAGGCACCCAATTTCTGGGTACGCTTAGTAAGTCTCCATCGGAGAGGGTGGCGGTGGTCTGTTCAAAGAATTTGGACTATATTATTCGCTCATAGTCCTCATCCAGGACACGAGGCTTCTTACATTTATGACCCAGGAGGGCTGGCTTCTGGTTGTATACCCTATACTCCCGGTTCTCCGCCTGAGTAGGGGCGGAAACCAAGTAGAACCTGTGCTTCCAGTCGGACCACTTAGACGGTTTGTCTAAGGTCATCAGGTACTGGGGATAGGTGGTCAATGTGTACCAGGCTCTCCAAGCGCCTGGACTTTTGCTCAAGTAATGCATGTGAGCGAAAGCCTCCCATCCGGGGTTGATTTCCTGCATCTCGCAGGCGGCAATATAACCCAATATGTTAACCCATGAGTTGGGGGTTAATTGCCAAATGCCAAGGCCATATCCTCAAAGGATGGCCTTTATTGTGTTATGAAGGGGGAAGCGGAGACCAGCTAGGAATGCCGCTTCATAGCAGCCAAAATATCGGTTTGCATTGGGCTGCTCGTCTTCCCAAACAATAGTGCCCATCTCAGGCGGCACAATTATTTTCCATTTCTTCCCAAGCGGGTGAATTTTTATGAAGTCCTCCAAATTATTTGCCATGCTTGCCCTATCTTTGGCAGAAACGGCGATAAGGAACAGGTCGCCTTTGTCATTCCAATTAGGCCTCTCCTCCGCCTCGCTATCAACATCCGGTGTCAAAAGGCTGCTGCTGCTGCCGCTCTACTCTCTACCGGATGAGGAGGCGGTCTCGTCGTCGCTGGCACCCTCTTCTTGGTGTTCCAGCTCAGCTTTAGAGGGCGAGGCGACATCTTTGTCACCTCCCATTCCTATTCCTAAAATCCCATCACTGGGAGTGCTTGGGGTGCCAGGCGAGAATCTCTTGTTCCCTCCGTCTGACTGGGGTCAGGCGGCAACTCGCCTGAGTCTGCCTCTCTGTACTCTGGGTCGAAGGCAGTCTTTTTTATGCGAGCCATTGCGTCCTGCACAGAGACAGAGACGGTCAGTTTCGGAGATGAAAAAGGAGACTCCCCGTACCCAGAGGCGGCACCCCCAGTCCTAGACTCAGCCGTACCAGGAGACCGGCTGACCTCTAAATTGTGGTGTGCCGTGTGTGTGATGGGTGAGGTCATTATTTTAAGGTATTTACAGCCAAAAGAATCAAAAATAAAATCCAAAAGACAACCAAGACGTTACCTTGAGATTGAATAGAAATTTGGAGACGGTTTTTGACCAAAGATACCCCAAACGGTATCACTTTGAGCAAACTGCAAATTGGCAAAAGAAGGAAAATTAATCACCAATGTTGCCCAAAGATACCACAGGCGGGAAAATCCGGTTGGGTAAGATTGGCAAAAGCAAATAATCTGGAATTTTTATCGGATTGGGCAAAGACCCCCCAGTCGGCATAAACCGGCTGAGTTTCGCAAGAAGACAGCTCAAAGAAATAGAGAAGCCAATACAGGCGGCCTGAAGGCCGGCTGTGTATTTGTTAAAGTGAAGGCTGTTTCAAGGCACCCCAGGCGGCAAAGACCGGTCAGGGGTCACAGCAAAACAGCTTAGAAAGAAATTGCTTGCTCACCCCCCAGACGGTGGGAGACTGGCTGGGAAAACAGCAAGGCAGGCCAAAAGAAAGTTTGATCAAAGATACCCCAGACGATTTACACCAGCTGAGGGTCTATGGAATGCAACTCACCAATGCGATTGCTTGAAGATACCCCAGACGGTTTACACCGGCTGAGGGTCTATTGAATGCAACTCACCAATGAGATTGCTTGAAGATACCCCAGACGGTTTACACCGGCTGAGGATCTATTGAATGCAACTCACCAATGAGATTGCTTGAAGATACCCCAGACGGTTTACACTGGCTTAGGGTCTATTGAATGCAACTCACCAATGAGATTGCTTGTTTGATGCCCCAGACGGTCCGACTGAGGGTCTATTGAGTGCAACTTCAATAAGTGCCAGAATATAACTCAGACGGTCTACACCGGTTGAGATTTTCAATAGACGCAATTTATAAAAAATTGCCTAAAAAGCTCCAGACGGCAAAAGGCAGTTGCAGCATAATCAAACATCCAATCAAAAAGACCGATTGAGTCAGAAGGATACTTTAGTGAGACGGATTGCGTAACTCAAGCGGTATCCGGAAGAACGGCTGTCTGCACAAGTAAGCAGCCACGTCAGCACCCGTGAGGGGCAAATGTTTAGGGTAAAAATTACCCTGTACACGTGGCCCTATAGGGATCTGACACGTGTCATCACCCTATTGCACCATGGGCATCCAACCAACGGATGCCACGTGGCATTGTACCCCCAATGGGGGAGCAGACCCATCTGCTATAAATAGAGGAATCTACCTCATTTATTGACATTCATAAATACACCCACAAAACCCGAGCAATAGTAATTGCGGAATCTCCCGGAATCCGAGAGAACCAATCTACCTTCCGTACGTAATTTCATCCGGAATCATACTAACTTGACCTTCGGAGGCGGAACTCCACCCAACCAGAGTTTCGTGGTTTTGCAGGTACAGAAGTCAGGCGTACATTCCCGGTGCTGTAACTCTCCCGTAGGACACCTCAAAAAACCCCAAACAAGTAGCATATAATTAAATACCACATTGTACCTTTGTTACTTTATGATATCTTTCCCACTTTAGAAAAAAGCCATAACTTTAAGATTGCATAGTATGCACAAGCATATAAAAGGTTCAAGAAGGTTGTGATCCATATAAAGGTTGATGCCATTTTGCTCGTGCATTCAGCAATTAGTAAAATAATTGTTTATTAAAAGAACTTTTTTCTTAAGCTGTTCCTAACATTGTCACGTGATTACAAGAAATTAAATTGTGAATAAGTTGTACAAGTATATTTCTTCCGTTCTTTTTTAGTTGACAACTTGACACGTTTTGGTTGTTGATGCTACTCATGTTAGATCTTGTTAAAATCATCCCAATAAATAATACAAGTATATGTTTTAAAATATCAACTTTTAATATATTTTACCTATTAATATTTAGAGATATTAACAGTTAAACTTGTAAGTTGACAAATTTGGAAAAAGAAACAGATCAACTAAAAGAGAATGGAGAGTGTAATTGATAAGCTTTGACATTATTTATATTATTTTGTTGAACTAAACTATTATTTGGCCAATCTAACTTATTTTTGCTCAATGTTATTATTTTTTGAAACTTTGCTCAATTTTTATTAGCTAAAATTAACTTATTTTTGTCGAAACTTGTTAAGGTAAGGGAAACATTGTCTTACAAACACTACTCCCTCCGTTTCGTATTAATCACAACACTTTCATTTTACATTCGTTTCATATTAATTGCAATATTTTTATTTTTGGAAAGAACCCACCATTATTTTATAATTTCTCTCTCTCACTAACCTCACTTTCACAAATATTTTTTATTTCTCTTTCCTACCAACCTCACTTATACTATTTTTTTTTATTTTTTTATTTCTCTCTTCTATTATTATAAAATCCTCTTTTGGCCCCCACTTATAAATTTTCTTAAACTTTGTGAACACCCTAGTGTTACGATTAATACGAAACGGAGGGAGTAGTTAAGAAACTTGATTTGTGGATTTCCTCAGCAAGAATCATAATAGCAAAAAAAAGGTCTTATTCTTATACTCTTATTTTAGAGTCAAATACACATTCATATGCCTAAAAAAAGGTAAAAAAATACATTGAAACAACATAACATGTGAAACGTTAGAAGGGACCAGCATAAAAAGAGGTAAATGGTACATCATATAACATAGATGCACACCACAATGTAGCCCCTCAAAAGGATCCCAAGTCTTGGAGCAAGTGGAAGCTAAGGAACCTTAACTTTACAGCTAAAAAACTTAAGTTATTGCTATACTATTCCTTTGTCCCTTGCAATTCCATTAATATTATTTGGTCCTACTATACTACCCCACATAAAATTTGTTCTCTATGATATATATGCAACATACAAGCCAACAACATCTCAGCATATCCTTAGTTTTGTGGCCCTAATTACTAGTGATCTACTATATATATACTATACGATATCAATACTACTAGTATGTTACGAATTTTAGGCATATATCTTGCAGCTAAAAGTGTAATTGTTGCTTTCATATGTAACAAATATATTTTGGAGCATAGATATTTGCAGTAATTCTTTGTTATTCTTCTAGTATCTTCTTTAAGGAAACAATTTCTTTGTTATGTTTGTGGCAAAGCACTACTAGAAAAACTTAAATGAGCACCGCAAAATGCGCACCGGTTTTTAAAAACCGGTGCGGTAAAATAATAGGCGGGATTGAGGGAAAGGGGAATTCGCACCGGTTCAACCCAAACCGGTGCGAAATGATGTTATTAGCACCGGTTCGGTTCGAACCGGTGCGAATGCTATTGTAAAAAAATAAAAAAAATCGGCCTTTAATTATCTTCTTTCTTTCTCTTTCCTCAATCTCTCCTCCTCTCTCATCTGTCTCTCTCTCATCTACAACAATGGAGCCTCAAACTCCTTCTCTCTCCTTCTCCATAACCACCGCTTTCCCTTTCCTTTTCTCTCTCCTACGATCTCCTTCTCCATAACTGCGCCGCAAGCAACGTTGCTCTCCTTCTCCTTCTCAGTCCGAAATCGGCGTCATTAGAACCAAGCACAACCACCATCGCCGCCGTCGTCAATTTGAACCAAATACAACAACAACAACAAACTTGAAATCAATTATCGATTTAAAAATCACAAATTCGAGGTTAGGGTTTCTTGGATTTGAAATCTAGGTTTTATGATTTTTTTTTTTTTATTAATGATGAACAATTGAAATTTTGATTGAATTTAATGGTGAGAATGTGAGATGATAGGATTTCTCAGTCTCTCAGATCACTCCTCCACCGGCAGCGGTGGCTTCTCTCACTCCTCCACCAGCGGCACTATCTCGCATAGTCCTCCTTGCGCTCCTTCCCTCTGTTTTTCTTCAGGTTATTTCTCTCTCCCTTACATTTTTGTTGTTGATAATTTCACATTCATTTTTTAAATTACTTGTTCCATTTTGCGATAATTAAGTGTTTGGACAAATTTCTGTTGTTCTGCTTCTGCTCATTTTTAATTTCTGTTGTTGATTAAATTTTGGAGAAATTTTAAGTTATGAGATTTGGGTTATGTTGGTATAGGTTTATTCTCAAACGAGTTAGTGTTTGGATGTTGATTTTTTGATTTGTAATGGCGTAATATGTAACGATTTGTATCAGGTTTTGGGATATTAATTTATTTTATTTATATTGGTTTAAGTCTGAGTTGTTTCTTGCTTGGATTTTTTTAAGTAGTAGTTGACTAAAAATCAAATTACCGATTGCATCAGATGATAACTATATTTCTGCTGCTTGGTGGTATACTATTATATTGATAATAGCAAATTAGCAATACCTCACCAGACTAAGTTGTCATATCTCTAAGATGGTGAAAAGTTTACTGAGCTCTCTAGATTTGCCTCGCACATAGTATCCCCACTGAAGAAGACAAAGTAAGAAGTATGAGGAAGGATTGCACTTTGGATTTTTCTATTTGAAAGCCTTTCAAGAAGCTTATGAAAGAGCAATGAGCATCAAATGTATTAACTAGAATGCAAAGGAAGTAATGAAGGGAAGCAAGAACAGACAACTGGGAGATTCTTCTTATGTAGTACAGGTTGTAAGAAGAATTGTGAAAGAGCAATCAACATCGAATCATAATGACATTGCTATTTTATTTGAAATTACATCAATATTTCACTTTTAATTAACATCAATAATAGTCAAAATTGATACTATTGATATTGCATACAAACATTAACATTTAGTCAAGTTCTATTAGTCTTGATGTGCTTTGATTTTAGTCTTGGCCAGGTTTGACTTCTAAGTTTTGGAATTGGTCTTCAAAGTCCCAAGTGTTTGATCTTCGTGAGCAGTGCACTTTCAGCGTGCACCCGGAGTGCATCATTGGTGGTTGTGGTGCAGCAACTTCTTGGTAGATGAACAAGAAAGAGAAAGTACTTGTCTCTTCTCAGCTCTCACTCTAGTCTCAGGTATTACTTCAATTTGTCTGTCATTTATAAATTCCCCTTTTAATTCCTAAATTATGATAAATTGGTGTATAAGTTTATGGTTTTTTGCCCAAATTATATTATTTCATACTCAAAAATTTCCATCCATTATTAGTGCTTAGAATTATGCCTACAGAGAAGATTGTGGATATGTTGCCCCCTAATTGATGAATAATTAGCGTGATTGATATCTTAATTTTATTGCTACTAGATCTCTTATCTTATTATATTTTTAATTGTTCATCCTTGGGCGGAACAATATATGAAATGCATTTCCTAACAATACTATTTGTGTTTTTATGTAGGAGCTTATCGCTGCTTTGCTGTCATGCTCATTCTTGTGATTGGTAAGTGACTAAATGAGTTCAATTATTACCATTGAATTTGAAAAGTTTGATCTTGTGATTGCTTGTCAGACTTCTTTGCTGATTGATTGTGCAGATAAACATGAATCATTAATATTTGACCTCCACCTAAATTGTCACTATTGGATTTTGAATGATTGATTAACATATATTTTCTGATATTGATGACTACCCATGTTGCATTTGGACTAGTTTTCTCGATTATTTTGGGTTGTGTTATTGCTTGCTGGAGTTTTGATAATTGTATGTTTCTAACTTACTAAACTGAGCCTCTACACTTCATTCGTATAATTACTGGAGTTTGTATAATTGTATGTTTCTAATTTATTGATTGATTGGGCTCTTTTTTTTCTTCTTCATTTTATGAGTTGTTTGATATTAATAAATATTTCATAACTACATGGGTTAATTGCTGACTTGCTGTATAGCAGGTGCTGGAGAGCATTAGGAGAGTTTGTGACTTAATAAGCTAAGTTGTAAGGTAATGTCTGATCCCTGTCTTATTTTGCTGCAAGCATTTTAGTTCGGTTTGTGTTGTACTCCGTATTGTTTATATAAATTATATGGTTAAAGCAACAAATAGGAAGGAAATTTATTGAAGACCTAAAATTTCAATTTTCGATTCCGAATATAGAAATTTATTGAAGAGTATGCTATGATATTTCCTCAAAAAAAAAAAAAAAAAAACTCAAATATATTACTTAAATTTCATTTCTAAAATGACTATCCATGAAACTTCAAGGCAAAATTTGTGCTGACCTTGAGTGTTAATGACATTGTTACTTCTGGAGCAAAACCCTTGTTTTTCCTAGATTACACATGTGCACAAGTCGTCTTGATGTTGACCTTGCTGAGAGGGTACTTTACTGACACACTCCCCCCACCCCCTCCTCCTCCTCCTCCTCCTCCTCCTCCTCCTCCTCCACCTCCTCTTAGTGTGTTCTCGTGTTTTCTTATCTGTAGAATAGTTCCAAGTTTTAGTTCCTGCAAATTAATTGAACACAACATAAATAATGTCTTATTTCAGGTTATTAAAGGAATTGTTGATGGTTGCCAGCAATCCGATAGTGCTCTTTTGGGTGGAGAGGTAATTCAGAGGCTCGGCATGTACTGCGCAAAAATGAAGTATAATGCATTCTCTAATTTTACGTACTCATGTGCTGGTAGGTGGGGAGGATAGATGACAGTGAGATGATGCGGACTTTCAATATGGGTATTGGAATGGTGCTTGTGGTAAGTCCAGATGTAGCCCTCAAAATTCTTGGTGATGCAAATGGAGCAACTCCAATGTATCACATTGGTGAGGTAAAGACAGGTGAAGGGGTTAGCTATCGATGAGAGGCTTCTCATCAAGTTTTTTTTATGCGAAATGACCCTAAAGACTTGAGTCTTGCTATCTCTTGAGCTCTCTCCATCTTTTCCATATAACTTATGTCAGCACATAATCTGCCAGAATATGGTCTGATGCAGACTAGGAAAATTTATGCTGTCAGGGATTTATGCTGCAGTATCATGATGCTGTAGTTTTTTCAGTTTTTTAAAGTGTAATATTACAAGTTATTGAAGAAAAAATATGTGTTTTATGTATATTATGATTATATATATATAAATATCTGGTACATTTTAAGTGGAAAAAAATGCAATTTTTTTAATTTTTTTTTTATTTTTTGGGCCATTAATGGCACCGGTTTTGGCACCGAACCGGTGCCAATTGTATTTTTTTTTAATTTTTTTGGGGCACAATTGGCACCGATTTTGAACCCGAACCGGTGCCAATTGTTGTAAATACCAAAAAAAAAAAAACATGACAGTGTTTTTTAGCACCGGTTAACTGGTGCTAAAGTTTTTGTTTTTTTGTTTTTTTTTTTTTTTTTTTTTTTTTTTTGCATCCCTCAAATCTAAACCAGTTCAAAACCGGTGCTAAAGGGGGATTTTGAATCGGTGCTCATTTACGTTTTTCGCCTAGTGTAGTTCAGACAAGAACAACGGATTTTAAGTCTTGTGATTAATAGATTGATAGTCATAAATATATACTGCTAGTACAAAACAAGGAATATACTCGGTGGTTTTTTTTTTGTTTTCGTTTTTCCTCTCAAAAATAGTCATTCTTATTAGGGGTGTACACCGGTCCAAAACCGGACCGGACCTGGACCGGACCTGTTTGGACCGGGGACCTGAATTGGGTAATTATGAGGACCGGGGACCGGACCTGAATTAACAGGTCCGGTTCCGGGCTAGACCTGAAAAATCAGGTCCGGTCCAGGTTTGGACCTGAATGGACCTGTTTTGTGATTTTTTCGTTTTTTTTTTTTTAATAAAAAACCTTAATTCATTATTTCGAATACAAAATACCCAAACATAATTAGATAATTTAGCAAAGTACTCATTAATTGAAATTCTACATGCAAAAGTTGTAAATAATCAATTAAATTCAGAATACCAAATCAATGAAAGAGCAACCACGAACGACACTCCAACTAAACGGCTTCACCGCTGCTGCTGTTTCACTTAGGTGGTTTTCTTCACAGATCCGTTGTTCTGCCAGCCCAGAAAAATCAAAGCAGAGCCTCTGAATTCCCGTAGAAAATGAAGGATTACAGAACACAGCTAAGTCACCTCGACTTCTCCGTCCGCTGCTTCGCTTCACCGCTGCTGCACTGCTTTACCGCCGCTGCTCTGCTACTTTGCAGCAGCTTCGCTAGCCCAGAGAACAACCCAACCAAGCCTCCTTCGGTGTTCTTCGCTATTCTGCTGCTCAAAAAGTTCTCCTTTTTTTGTTGCCCAGCAAGATCTCAAGATAAGCTCTAGAATCTCACCACCAAAAACCCCAAAAATAACTTACCGGAGAAATGGAAAATCGCGCAGTAGCTGTCTCATGCGGTGGCCGGTGGGCGCCTGGGCTTCGCCTGAGAGAGTGAGGAAGGCAGGAGGTGTCGGCGGTGGGCGTTGCCGCGTTGGGCTGAGACTGGAGACAGTGAGCGTGAGGGAGAGGGGGAGACAGCCAGGGAGTTTGGAGATTGGAGTCTTGGAGAATGGAGATAGTCAGATAGCTGTTTGTTAGGGTTGCAGCGTAATTTTGATTTTTGAATTTTTTTTTTTTTTTTTTTTTTTTTAAAAATACAATTTTTCCGGGTTTCAGGTCTGGACCTGAAAACCCCGGGTTTAGACCGGGTCCGGACCGGAACCGGGAACCTTGATTTTTAAGGACCGGGACCGGACCTGAATCAACAGGTCCGGGTCAGGTCCGGTCCGGATCAGGTCGGTTCAGGTCCGGTTTCAGGTCCGGTCCAGTTTTTGTACACCCCTAATTCTTATTGTGGAAAGATTTCATGGAGCTAAAGACAAAGAGTATAATCATGTGCAAGTTATTGTGGCTATAATTTCGCATATATATCTTCCTCCAATCCCCAGTGATTTATTATTTTGTCATGTTCGTTACTTCAACTTGTAGCTTAGCTTGTTATTATTGTACTTTACAATGATCTGCTTGTGCAAAAAACATTTTTTGATTTTTATTTTTTGTTTTACATTTAAGTGATGTACGTTAACCTAACTTACAAACCGAGAGATCAGATATGGTCAATTTATAGACTTGCAAGCAATTCATAACTTTCTAATGAGTATTTTCTTTAATAGTGTAAGTATTGACCATTTTGTTTTTGGAAGATTGGAACTTTTTTATATCTTTAATAGATGCATGGGAAGAAATAATGAATACACATACATGCAATTTTCAATAAATGCCTATATGAATAATGATCTTCCTTATATATCTCTCTCTATTCAAACTTAATTGTTACACCAACCTTTGTAGATATTTTAATGTGATTGCTTATTGAAGGCACGCTTAATCGTACATAATATTTGTTTCTTAATTTTTTAATTAAATGATCGATAAAAGGGTGGGGTCATTTGGAATAGACGTCACCACTAAGGTGCAGACTTTTGTGTTGGACACCTCTTCCTAGATGACGATGTATATTATTAATACAACTATTGGTTTTGGTTTTTTCCTCAAAATTTATAGAGGCTGAGGGTATAGTAAGATAGAGAAAGAGAATAGGAGGGGAGGAGAGAGAGAAAAGGGAAAGAGGTGAGATGAGGGTGGCTAGGTGTCACGGTCCGGGAGTTTGGACCCCGAAACGTGCGGCGCGCTCTAGCCTTTTGGCGGCAAGAACGCTAGCCTTGAGCGGAAGAGGGGCTTGTGAGCACAAAGCAACACAAGCGGGCAATAAAATCTCAGGAGCACTCACGTCTATCTGGGCGACGGAGTGCGGGAGGTCGGGGCTTGTGACGGCCGATACTTCAAAGCGGGCACAAGCGGGTCCGAACCACGAGTCCTTAGCGCATCAAGTTGGGTTGGAGGGGAGCTAATATGCAAGTAAGACACAATATCTATAAAGGTCTAACAACAAACAAGCATAAAAGCAAGGCAACACTTGGTAGAAGGCTTTAAGATTTCATTAATCATTCGCCCTCTAAAGAGCTTTAAATGACATACAAGGAGAATCCCTAGTGAACACTGATCTGACAGTAACACAATAATGGGACCTCAAGCTAAGAAAACATAACCTAAACTCTAGGAAAGCACTTAAATGGAATCTAATACATCAAAAGGAGTTGGATTCTAACATCCTCCCCCACTTAAGCTGTCGACGACCTCGTCGACTTACAAAAGTTACAATCAAAATTAGAAAACCCTAAACTATCTCAAGTTTCGGATGCGCCGTTGGTGCGGCTATCTTCTGGAATCTTATCTGACTCTTGAGCTGGATCTTCTTTGTTGACGAGGAGCTTGTCTCTGGAGTCGCTCGGCTCGAACATCTTGTTGAGAGCTTCATCTCTAAATTTCCTCCTAGGAGTGGAATCTGTTGAATTAAGGGGGACAACTGCTTCCACCATCATCTGTTGGGGAGCTGCTTCCTTGAGACTGTGGTGGAGAGCTTCAAGTTGTGGCTGGTGCCTCTTGGGTGACCATTTTCTTTGTAATCCCTTGCACGTGCCCTGCCTTGTTTGCTCAACCACTGTTTTTCCTCCCTCTTGGGAGGTTCTTCTTTGGTGTCTCTTTGGTGTCTCTGGGCTCGTCGCTCTTTGCTTCGAACCTTGTGACTGATTCTGGTTTTGGCGGGTGTGTATCTGGGATGTTGCCAACTCCATGGGCTTCATCTCCCGCTTCTCTGGGTTTCTGGTGCGAGCTTGTTTCTTCGATGTTGCCTTCTTCTCAGGCTCCATCACTCGCATTGCCGAAAGATATCGGACTTCTGGTTCTTCTTGAGGTGCTATCATTCTCATAGCACTCAGGCGTCGTATGGAACCCATCCTATATGTGGGCTCCTCATCGCTGCTAGTCTCTTTTGTGGCCTCTTGAACGGACATGGATGACAATCTCTTTTGGATCTTGTCAAGTTCTTCTTTATGCTCGCAATCCCACCATTTGTGTGGACCTCGACAAAGTATGCAGTTTATTGCCCTTGTGTTTGCCGAGGATGCGCCGACCCTCGAGTTTCCTGAGTTGTGGGAGGGGGTAGATGTTTGTCTCTGGGCATCACCTCCTCCACTTCTTCTATGATATGTATTAATGGTGTTGGATGATACTCGTGAGCCGTTCTCTGTACCCTTTGGAGAGCTTGGAGACGGACTGTTAGAGCGTGTTGACGTCCCACTTGAATCCTTCTCGGATTGACGACCCTTCCCGACTGAGTAGTCCATCAATCTCTCAGCAGCACACATAGCAGTAGCGAGGGTATCAATATTCTGCCTCAAAATCTCTCGCTGCGCCCATTCCTTTAACCCGTTGACAAAGTTGAACACACGATCTTTCTCATTCATGTCTGTGATGTCCAACATTATCGCCGAGTATTCCTTAACATAGTTGCGAAGAGAACCCTTCTGGCGGCACTCTTGCAACTTCATCCGTGCAACAAACGCTGTGTTGACGGGGTAGAATTGTTCTTTGAGTTCCTCTTTGAACTCCGCCCATGTATCAATCTTGATCCTTCCTGCTTCGATGTCTGCGTGCTTGGTGCGCCACCACAGCTTAGCATCTTCGGACAAGTACATGATGGCAGTATCCACCTTCTGACGTCACTTAGTTGACATATTCGAAAGTACTGCTCCATGTCGAAGAGGAAGTTATCAACTTCTTTCGCATCTCTAGCGCCACTGTAGTCGCGAGGTTTGGGCGGCTTTATCTTCGCCGCACCAACACCCAGTGCGTCTCTGCCCACAACGCGCGTTAAGGTAGCACATTTCTCAAGTGCTTCGTCGGCTTTTCCTTGAACAAATTGCAATTGTTCGCGGAGGGCATCTTTGTCAGCCATCAATTTCACAATTTTCTCGGCTTGCTCGTGTACAATGACTTGGAGCTCGGCCCATTTGTCCGCCTTCTCCTCGAGCCAAGCGAGCCTTTCTTCTACGAATTCCATCTTCGTGTAGCCCTCCTTGGTGCCTACACGGGTTGCTTGCGACAAGGTTTGAGCCTCGGCTCTGATACCAACTGTCACGGTCCGGGAGTTTGGACCCCGAAACGTGCGACACGCTCTAGCCTTTTGGCGGCAAGAACGCTAGCCTTGAGCGGAAGAGGGGCTTGTGAGCACAAAGCAACACAAGCGGGCAATAGAATCTCAGGAGCACTCACGTCTATCTGGGCGACGGAGTGCGGGTGGTCGGGGCTTGTGACAGCCGATACTTCAAAGCGGGCACAAGCGGGTCCGAACCACGAGTCCTTAGCGCATCAAGTTGGGTTGGAGGGGAGCTAATATGCAA